ACTGATCATTAGAGAAATGCAAATCAAAACCACAATCAGATGCCATCTCATGCCGGTAAGAATGGTGATTATTAAAAGTTCAAGAAACAACAGACGCTGGCAAGGTTACAGAGAAAAAGGAACACATCTACACTGTTGGTGGGAATGAAAGTTAATTCAACCATTGTGGAAGACAGTGTAGCAATTACTCAAAGATCTAGAAGCAGAAATACCATTTGATACAACAATCCCATTATTTAATTTATACCCAAAGGAATATAAATCATTCTATTGTAAAGATACATGCATGTGTATGTTCATTGCAGCACTCTTCACAATATCAAAGCCATGGAATCAACCCAAATGCCCATCAACAGTAGACTGGATAAAGAAAATGTGGTACATATACACCATGGAATGCTATGCAGCCATAAAAAGGAGGAAGATTATATCCTTTGCAGGGACTTGGGTGGTACTGGAAGCCATTATCCTCAGCAAACTAATGCAGGAACAGAACACCAAACAGCACATGTTCTCACTCATAAGTGAGAGTTGAACTATGAGAACACATGGACACAGGGAGGGGAATAACACCCAGTGAGGCCTGTCACAGGATTGGGGAGAGGGAGAGCATTAGGAAGAACAGTGAATGCATGCTGGCTTAACACATGGGCAATAGGTTGATCTGTGCAGCAAATCACCATGGCACATATTTACCTACGAACAAAGCTTTATGTCCTGCACATGTTCCCCAGAATTTGAAATAAAAGTTGATAAAACAAAAAAACAAAAAAGAAACCTGCACATGTACCCCTGAATCTAAAATAAAAGTTGAAAAAAAAGAAAAAAGAAAATCCCATTCCAACTATAAGACTGAAAGTCAATTGCACACATGAGAACAAAACTCAGCAAAATTCTCTATCAGACTATTCTATTTCCTCAATAATTTGTTCTTTTGGCCAATTCATTAAAATATTATAACACCCTTGAAAACAATATTTTATTATAAACTTATTGGCAGTTTTATAAAGAGAGATGACTACCAGTTCTAGAGTTTTTATCATAACATAGGCACTTGCGCCTGGCCAGCCTTCAAGTCACAATCATTTTGTGATGTTATTCTACTTCAGGCTGTTTTTCTGTCAATTTTCAAGACATTCTCTTGCCTGCCAGCTTCTAATCACATTGACAATATATGACAGCTGCTTGGAAGCCTATTTCTGATTAAATGTCCTTTAAAATTCACTGGATTTGGCAACAACTTTAAACCATTGGTTATCTGATGTCCTGGACATAGCTAGAGAAGCAGATGGTGTGGGACCCAGAAGGGAGTGGATTTATTTTTCCAAGAAATACCTTAGAACTCAATGACTTAGAGTCAGTCTTTATTTCAAACTTTATTTTTACACAGTTCATCTTTCTTATAAAAAAAATGGATTTCAGAATGTGTAGATACAAGGATATTCCAGACAGAAATGATGAAGCTTTCAAGGCAATGTAAATTATTGATTCAAAAGTGGAAGTCATGTTCTTTCCAGTGATTTTCTCATCGTCCAAAATCCTGGCTTTTAAAGTCAGACTTACTGGTGTTCATTTTTGGATTTTGAATTCCACTAGTTTTGTGACCTGAAGCAAATCACATCTTAAGTGATTAAGATCTCTGAGCATCAGTTTTCTTTTAGATAAGATAATTCATATCTTTCTTGCTATTATATTATTATGCTATTATATATTCCTTTCTATCCTGAGAGTTAAATAATCATCCTATACATGGGCCTGGTTAATGTTAACAAGGCTAGTATCTTCTTTCTTTCCCTGCTGGAATTGTCTTTCGTGCTTTATTGATGTCCTTTGATTTGTCAGTATCATTCAAACTTTTCTCTACAAGTCCTTCCACTTGCAAGATATCTCCTTGTAGGTTCATACTCACTCTCTTATTTTCCTTGTAACAAGTTTTCTGATCGAATGTGGATAACAATTTCTGCTGTTTTTGAAGTAGCATTGAATTTTCAGGGAGAATATGCCAAAACCTATGAATAATTCAACATTATCAGAAAAGGTCATCTTTCTGCCCCTCTGCCACAATTTTCTACAAGTTTTCTTTTTCTTTCTTTTTCTTTTTTTGTTTTGTTTTGTTTTGTTTTTGAGACAGAGTTTCACTCTTGTTGCCCAGGCTAGAGTGCAATGGCCCAATCTTGGCTGACTGCAACCTCTGCCTCCCGCGTTCAAGTGATTCTCCTGCCTCAGCCTCCAGAGCAGCTGGGATTACAGCCATACGCCACCATGCCCGGCTACTAGTTTTTGTATTTTTAGTAGACACAGGGTTTCTCCGTGTTGGTCAGGCTGGTCTCAAACTCTAATCTCAAGTGACTCACCTGCCTCAGCCTCCCAAAGTGCTGGGATTACAGGCGCGAGCCACCACACCCAGCCCCAAGTTTTTCTTAATGCATTTCTTTGTCTTTCTCAAATGCATGCTTTAGCTGTGCAGCTTCTTTCTCTGTCAACCTTTGATGGTCTTGTACATGAGGAATAAATTTGATTGAGTTGAATCCATGAGGAATCTCTGGAAATGGAGACTTGGAGACATTTCCTTGGCTTCTGTAGTTCTAATCCCTTCCTAACTAGCTAGCATTAGCTTCTCAACTGTTCAAGAATACAATAATACTGCCGTCCTCAGTCTGTCCTCACTCAAGCTCTTCTAGGCTATGCCCTTCAGCTATGTTTTCATATTTCCATTTGAAATTCTTCCAAACTAAGTCTTCTGAAGTTCAGAATCTGGCACAGCATTTTAGTGCACATGGAACACACTGGAATCTGAAAGACCTGGCACTGCAAGCATTTTAGTGCATTGACCTCTGCAGTGTGCAAGAGGGAGAATTTAGCTCATTGCCAAAGGCTGCACGTTAATCTCCTGCAGCTCATGTAGCAAAGCACCACAAATTTGATGACTTCCACAACAAAAATGGATTCTCTTACAATTTTGCAGGCCAGAGGTCTGAAGGCAAGGTGTCCGAAGTGTTGGTTCCTTGTGAAGCTATGAGGGAGAACCTGTTCCAGGCCTCTCTCCCAGCTTCTGGTGTTTTGCTGGCCACCTTTGGTGTTCCTTGGCTTGCAAACTTCTGTCCTCGTCTGCACATCTCCTGTTTGCATGTCTATCTCTGCGTCCAAGTTCCCTTTTTATAAGAATACTGGTCATACTGGATTAGGACCCACCCATAGGACCTCAGCTTGACTTGATCATCCAAAAAGACCATTTCTCAATAAGGTCACATTCACAGGTGCTGGAGGTGAGAACTTTAATATGTTTTGGGATGACAAAATTCATCCCATACTAGACCACTCCATTTTTGTTCTTTGTGGTCAAGATAGCTGAATTTTCTTTTTTCATTGACTAAGAAGAATGTCAGTAGGTGAGGTCTACAGGACTGAAACCCAAGTGCCACCTTCTCTCATCTGCACAGAGACGGGAACAGCTGAAGTTCACTTTCACAGGTCCCTATAAATGACTCATTTATCAGGTACCAGGCCTCCTGCTCTCTCTAGCTGGAAATTTGGTCAGAGGAAAGGGCTGCAATTTGCTAAAATAATTACCAAAGCTGTGGATGGATAATTCAAGTTTAGATCATACCATTTGAAAACGTTAATGTATCCTTTACATTTTGACTACCATTTATCTTCCAGCATTATTCTGAAATATACATTAAAATATTTTCTGCTGACTGTATTTATTGCAATCGTTCCTCTTCAGTTGTCTCACATCTGGAAAATATGTGTGAGAATTATTTCTTCAGGGATTCATGTATTTTTTAAAACTGTAGATGATGTAAATCTACACAGAGTTCATGAATAAGCAACCATTTAGGAGGTGCTGGGCACGGACACCCCACAGAGATTCTCAGGAATTCACAGCTCAACCCTGCAATGTGGATACGATGGTGCCTCCTTGTAGTCTCAGAGAAACTGTGATGGGCTCATTCCCATGAAGCTGAAGGCTTGCCATGCTGGGTCTTTCAGATTCCAGTGTGTTCCATGTGCTAAGAGCTGTGACTTTTCTATGAATGTAGCCCAGAGTGAGGTTGTCTCTGAAGTCAGCCTGCCTAGGCTTGGATCCAGACCCCCACACTAGCTAAGTGAACCTAGACAAGTGATGTAATCACTCAGTGACTCAGTGTCTCCCAACCAAATACATGGTGTTTATTTGTAGGGCTGTTGTGGAAATGACATTAAATTGTGCTGATAAAACATCTAATATAGGACCTGGCACATAAGAAATATATGATACATAGTAGCATCATGTATGTAATTATCAACAAAAAGTCAATCTCTGTAAAATATTTGAAGAGATTTATTCTGAGCTAAATATGAGTGCCCAATGCCTGTGATTCTGCCCTCGGGAGATCCTGAGAGCAAGTGCCCTAGGTGGTCAGGGCACAACCTAGTTTTATACATTTTAGGGAGACATGAGACGTCAATCAACACATGTAAGATATACATTGGCTTGGTCTGGAAAGGCAGGAAAACTTGAAGTACTGTCTGGGGAGTGCTTCTAGGTCACAGGTATAGTTAAAAATGTCCTGATTGGCAATTGGTTGAAAGAGTTATTCTCAATAGAAAGGAATCAATGCCAGAATTACATACAATAAGGGGTTGTAGAGACCAAAGTTTTATCATGCAGATGAAGCCTCCAAGTAGCAGGCTTCAGAGAGACTAGATTAGGTTGTATATGTTGCTTATCAGACTTAACGTGTGTGTTGATGTTAAATGGTGGTTGGCTTTTCCTGAATTCCAAAAGGGAGGAGAGTATAATGAGGCATGTCTAACCCCCACTTCCCGTTATGACCTTAACCAGTTTTTCAGGTTAACTTTGGAATATTCTGGCTGAAAGGAGAGGTCCATTTAGATGGTTGGCTTTCGGATTTTATTTTTGGTTCACGTAACGAAGTGATAAGGTGGTAGAAAATAAAAATGTTATAACTTACTACAAAATAACGGCAACTTAAGGAAGGAGAAGCCACGGTCTGTTGGAACCAAAGTCTCATGCTTTTAATTATCCTGCTGTGTTTTCTGTTCTTCTACAGGCAGGAAAGCTGCCCTCTTGCTTGGGAAGCCAACGACATCCCAATTCACTTACCTCGCCACACGTTTTTGCACCTCCTGTGATGACATAAACCCACTCACAGTTGTGGGAAGAGGTGGTGGTCCTTGGCAGAATGTGTCCTTGGCACAGTGGATTTGAGCTCAAATATGCCCTGGTCATGCTGAGGTCCATCCAGTACGGCCATGCCAGTTTTGCTCAAACTCAATTTTTCCACAATCAGGTGACCCTGAAAGGATGCAAAAATATTCGCTTTTGTTAAAAGTGCATTCTAAAAATCTAAAAGTGACACTTCAAAGCTCTTGCTGCTTCTCCAGGGATGGCTAGAAATAAACATGCTCACTATCAGCTTTTTGAATGTACCTTTGGGCCACATAGAGGAGCAGAACTGTTGTGTGGATTTTAACTTCGGTATTTAAATTGCCATCCGGCCTTGCAGCCTGAGGAATTCCGGGAAGCATTGTGTGATTTCACACTTAAATTGGTAAAGTGAGGTTGCACATGAAAGCCTTCCTATCCTAGAACCTCACAACATGAACAGAGAATGAGTTATAATGGAAATGAGAGGAAAAAAGAGGCAGCAAAAGAAGGCAGGAGAAAGGACACCAGCACACATTTAAAATGAATTGTTTGATGGCTAGGTGGCTCACCATTAAGCACAACAATGAATTATCTAAAAATATTCAAAACACAGCATGGTGCAGCTCCACATAGCTCTTCTCTTTGTGCTCCTGGCAGTGCTTGGAAAGAGCTAACAGGGGTCCTGACCAGCTCATGTGATGCCTGGACTGGGAGAAGTAACAGGAGAGGGGTGCGTGTGACCCTTTCCACACTCCTCATTCTGTAGGAACAACAACCACAAAACCAAAACAAGCCCTCAGGGAGTCTATACTGGTGACTTCCTCAAGGGAGAAAACAGGGGGAAAAAGGAACAAAAAGGCCTACTTATCTTGAGTAATAAATTAAAAATCAGAGGAACAGATTGTAGGTAAGAAATACACACCCAGAGAACATCTCAGGAAGGCCTTGTGGAGTCCTCTCACAGCGGCCCAATCACCTTCCATCAAAGCCATTTCTGCTTCCAGGAGGGGCAACAGGTGTGGGGGTGGAACAGTCAGGTGAGGGCGAGGATCAGTCCATTTAGCAGGAGGGAGGCTGCAGGTCCAAGTTCCTACCCAGGAAGGAGGACATAACCCAAAGAAGGTAAAATGTCAAATCAGGTTGGGCCGGGTGCGGTGGCTCATGCCTGTAATCCCAGCTCTTTGGGAGGCTCAGGCAGGTGGATCACCTGAGGTTGTGAGTACAAGACCAGTCTGACCAACATGGAGAAACCCTGTTAATACAAAATTAGCCGGGCGTGGTGGCACCTGCCTTTAATCCCAGCTACTCGGGAGGCTGAGGCAGGTGAATTGCTTGAACCCGAGAGGCGGAGGTTGCCGTGAGCCGAGATCGTGCCATTGCGCTCCAGCCTGAGCAACAAAAGCAAAACTCCATCAGGAAAAAAAAAAAAAAAAAAGTCAAATCAGCTTAATGTTGACTGCTCGATTCCAGGACATCTTGCAACAGGATATGCTCCCTTGACTTAAAGATACTCAAAAGAAGTGCAGAGGACAGGGCAGAGTCTGGGACTAACTATGTGGCTGCTCATTGTCCTCTCTGAGCCTATACCTCCCCACCCGGAACATCAGACCTGAGCACACAATGACCACATCACTGTACAGGGACGTGGAGCAGGTCCGTGCAGCCTGAGAAGGAAGCTCTTACAGCCAGAGGGGCTCTTCTTGCCTCTTGCCCCAAAAGAACCAATGGGAAGCAATATCACAGCAAAGAAAGAATTTAATAACCACAGGGCCAGCCAAGAGTAGGAGAGCAGGGAGAAACTTCTCCAACTCATCTCTCCAGTAATTCAGAGTCTAGGGTTTTTAGAGGGTACTTTGGTGGGCAGGGGGCTGGGGAACTGGAACAACTGATAAAAATCACAGGAGCATCTAAAACTGTCTTCTTTCAGCTGAGTCAATCCTGTGAGGGGGTCTCAGGACCAGGTGGCATCTCTTAGTCTGCCTGAATGCCAAACCTGAAAAACATCTCAAAGACCAGTTCTTTTTTTTTTTTTTTTTTTTTGAGATGGAGTCTCACTCTGTCACCCAGGCTTCAGTGCAGTGGCCGGATCTCAGCTCACTGCAAGCTCCGCCTCCCGGGTTCACGCCATTCTCCTGCCTCAGCTTCCCGAGTAGCTGGGACTACAGGTGCCCGCCACCTCGCCCGGCTAGTTTTTTGTATTTTTTAGTAGAGACGGGGTTTCACCGTGTTAGCCAGGATGGTCTCGATCTCCTGACCTCGTGATCCGCCCGTCTCGGCCTCCCAAAGTGCTGGGATTACAGGCTTGAGCCACCGTGCCCGGCCAAAGACCAGTTCTTTAGGTTTATTGATAGTTATATTATCTCTAGGAGTGGTTGGGGAAGTTATAAATCTTGCAACCCCCCCCCCGCCCCCCGTTACATGACTCTGGGGCAGTCAGCAACTTTTAGGAAAACGTGCTCCACAATGGCAGATCATTGATTAATTCTGCCTATTCTTTAGCAAAGTTCAGGCCTTACCGTAATTCTAACCTCTCTTAAGAATGTAGCTTCGATCTCCTAGCAAGGAGGGGGTCAGTTTCCCTTGCCTCTAAGTTGAACTGTAAACTAAATTTCTCTCATGGTCATCTTGGCCTCTGGGCTAGAATAAGAAAAAAAAAAAATCGCCCATGATGTTAGATGCAAGATGGAGTCAGTCAGGTGAGATTTCTCTCATTACTTATAATTCTGCAAATGTGGTTTTTAAATCTAGGAGAATCAATCCACATCATATTAGTACAAAGAGAAGTTTTTAGGCTGGGTGCAGTGGCTCACGCTTGTAATCTCAGCACTTTGGGAGGCCAAGACAGGAGGCTTACTTGAGCCCAAGAGTTGGAGACCAGCCTGGGCAACAAAGTGAAACCTCATCTTTACAAAATTAAAATATTAGCCAGGCATGGTGCTGCAGGAGATGGGAGGGTAACTTGAGCCTGGGAGGTGGAGGCTGCAGTGAGTCATGATCGTGCCACTGCATTCAGCCTGGGTGACAGAGTGAGACCCTGTCTCAAAAAATTAAATAAATAAATAAAAATAAAAAGTAAATAAATAAAATAGAAGTTTTGGACAGAGTTATCCACTTTCGAATCACGGTATTTATGCAGCAATCAATACCTGAAGAAGAAGAGAGAGAAAGAGAGGACTGGAAGGTGGGAGAGTGAAAAAAGGAAAGAAAGGAAGCGAAAGATGAAGGAGGCCGGGTGTGGTGGCTCAAGCCTGTAATCCCAGCACTTTGGGAGGCTGAAGTAGGCGGATCATTTGAGGTCAGGAGTTTGAGACCAGCCTGACCAACATGGTGAAACCCCGTCTCTACTAAAAATACAAAAATCAGCCAGGCATGGTGGCATGTGCCTGTAATCCCAGCTACTCAGGAAGCTGAGGCAGGAGAATCACTTGAACCCAGGAGATGGAGGCTGCAGTGAGCTGAGATTGCACCACTGCAATGCAGCCTGGGCAACAGAGTGAGACTCTGTAAAAAAAATTTAAAAAAAAAAAACAAAACAAACAAATAAAAAAAGATGAATGGGAAATAAAAAGTCACTAATATTTTACTCTATGCAGAAGAATGTGTAAATAATGATTTACGTTTAAATAAACTCAAACATAGGGTATTAAATGTAGCTAGAGACAGAGATTGTGGTGATTACAAAATTCCAAATAAAATTTATATATTACTGAAGAAAGGGAAGAAATAGAAATAGCAAAGGAAAAAGTCAGAACAGCTTAAAACTAAATTACACATATAGAAAAATGGTTTTAAATAAGCACCATGAATGCTGAGTAAAAAACAACTTTATTAAAACAATTAAAGGAAAGATAATACATTATGGAGAAAAAATAGGTAATCTAACACTAAGATAATACATGCCTTTGTAATAAATAACTCTTAAAAGGAAAGCAAAATTTTTATTCAAAGTTTTAATGAAATGGAATTTTCCAGAAGTAAAGAAAGAACTGCTTGTGTGGGTCACAAAGGCATACTTAGTTCCAGAAAAATTGATATAAAATGCCCAGCATTGAAACATATTCCATTTGTTAGTGAATTTTAATGAAAAAGGGAATTGTTCAGATCACCAGCAGACAAAGCAAGTTACTTAAAAAGAGGAAAAATAAATTGGCCTCAGATTTCTCCAGAGCAGCATCTGATACCAGGAAGACAGTCCTGAGGGAAAGTGGAGTGCAAGATGTCCGTCCTCACATTGTCACTCAAGGGTCAAGAGAGAGGACGGACCACAAATACGAAGAACCTCAGCAAGCATGATACCCAAAAACACTTTTAGAAAAAGAACCAGACAACAGAATTTAGCCAAGCAACAATTCAACTTGGAAGCGTGAAAAAATGTTCTGGTGTAAGTGTTAAACACTTGTACATGTAGAAGAATGACTAAACTGGGGGAAACATGATTCAAAAGGTAAATGTTCTAATTCTCAACATTGTGTCACAGGATCTTTTTTTGGAAAAGGAAAAGGATGACTATGATACAAATATAAAGTGAACATATGTCAAATATTTTATTTAACTTAAAAAATTAATAAGACTACTTATAAAATGTTATAACCAGTTCAAAAGAGAATTCAAAAAACGACCAATGGGCCAGGCACATTGACTCTTGTAATCTTAGCACTTTAGGAGGCCAAGGTGTGAGGATTGCTTGAGCCCAGGAGTTTACACCAGCCTGGGCAACATAGTGAGACCCTGTCTCTACCAAAAAAAAAAAAATTACCTGGGCCTGGTGGCACGTGCCTGCGGTCCCAGCTACATGGGAGGCCAAAGTTGGAGGATTGCTTGAGCCCAGTAGTTCAAGCCTGCGGTAAGCTATGATCACCCCACTGCACTCCAGCCTGGGTGACAGAGCGGGAATTTGTCTCAAACAAACAAACAAACAAACAAAAAACACAAAACAAACAAAAATAAAACTAACAACATATAGAACATAAAGAACTCTGAAGTCTATTTACAAATAGATGTAAAGCAGCTCTATCCACAGGACAATAAGCAACCTAGAATTAATTTGCATTTCTATGGATGAGATGTTTGCATTATCATCAGTTTTCTACTACCTACCAAGTTGCAAAATAGCTCAAAGACCATGAAAGGCAGTGATAACCCAGATGGATGAGCTGGATAGGAAATCAACTACACTTTTCAACTACATTTTAGTCTTTCATAGCTTTTATTGACAATTGTAAAAGTTATAATATATGAATCAAAAGCACAATAAAATGGAAGAAATTATATATGTGTTATTTTTCTTACTTTAAGGATGCTGGATAACTTCTTAGGTATATAAATCAAAGAAAATATATTTATATTTATTCTGTAAAGGCACTGCAAGAGTCTCCAGAAAAAAAAAACTAAGATTAATTTGATAGTTAATTTTCTATGTCAGCTTGAGTGGGCCATGGGGTTCCCAGATTAAACATGTTTCTCGGGGTGTCTGTGAGGGTGATTCCAGGTGAAATTAGCATTTGAATCAGTGAACTGAGTAAAGCAGCATGCCCTCTCCAAAGTGGTTGAGCATCATCCAACTCATTGAGGGCCTAAAAAGAATACAAGTTGATGCTCTAGTTTGGATATTTGACCCTCCAAATCTCATGTTGAATTTTAATCTCCAATAATGGAGGCAGGGCCCGGTGGGAAATGATAGGGGTGGACCCCTCATGAATGGGTTAATGCCCTTCCTTGCAGTTGAGTGAGTTCTGGCTCTGTTAGCTACCACAAGAGCTGGTTGATACAAAGAACCTGGCACCTCCCTGCACTCTCATGCTTCCTCTCTTGCCGTGTGATCTCTGCACATACAGTCTCCCCATTCCCTTCTGCCATGAGTAGAGGCAACTTGAGGTCCTCACCAAAAGGAGATGCAGGTGCCATGCTTCTTATACAGAGTGCAGAACTATGAGCCAAATAAACTGCTTTTCTTTATAAATTACCCCACCTCAGGATATATTCCCTTATAGCAACAGAGACTAAGATAGGTAAAGAAAGGAGAAATTTGCTCCTTTTTCCTATGTGACTACTTGAGATGATGCATCTCATCTCATTTTCTCTTGTCCTCAGATTGGGATGTACATCATCAGTTTCTCTGGTTCTCAGGCCTTCAAACTCAGACTGAATTACATCATTGACTTTCTTGGTTCTGTAGCT